ATTGTTCCATACCGTGTTCGGTAACTTATTGAGCGTAGATCATGGTAGACATGGTCGGCGTCCGTGCGTATTCCCATTTGTGACTACTTCTCCCTTGCTCATCTGTCTTCTCGTCAGAATACAATCCCCGATACTTCAAGGACCCCACGGTATACAAGCCATCCCGGTGGTACGGCCTCCCTCCTGAGTCAGAGCAATTTACCGCTTTCAGCGTCGGTAAGCCAAGTAATCTCTTCTTCGTCTACGAAAAGAAGACCGAGCGCAAACCTAGGTCCCCGCGCTTGCCTCGGTCGAAAATTCGCGACGGTCGAGGCGACCTGTTTCTTGTCACACCTCTTGAAAGACTGGCAAGTTCAGCCCGTCCTTCTTCCCGGAGAAAGTAACGAAGCCTGGATTGCACGTATCATCAACAAGTCGCGTGTGAGCTTGACCTTGACGATAGGGGAATTCCCCCTCCGGTTCGTCAGACGGCAGCCAGCCTGAGCCCGGGAGTTCAGGCGTCCGTAGGTCTATGCAGTAAAATTTTTCATTTTTCATTTTTGTCTTTTGTATATTTTATCCAGAAAGTCTGTAAATATCTTTTTCTTCAAGTACGGACCCTCATCGTCGGGAACGGCTTGTATCAACGTGTTAATGCGGGCGTATACTTCCTCTTCGTACACTCCATACTTCTCCCTCAACCCGACCGCCTCGAACACGGCTTTCACTCTGGCTTCGGCATCTGGATCTCGCCGACCATAAGAAGCGTCCAGAATGGCGCGCTGCTCTGCGGAGGCGGCGGCGAGCGCAGTGTTGATGCACCACGAACATTTGTTATCGACGATGTCAGTGCCGACTTTCCCGATTTGCTCCGGCGTCCCTGCAAAGTCAAGGAAATCATCTTGGGCCTGGAAGTACTGGCCAATGGGAAGAAGGATAGACTGCGCGACAGCGTACGCTTCTATTTGTTGCCCAGTTGAATTGGACTCGTATGTTGGTGGGACTTCGCACAGTAACATAGCGAGCGCCACGGGCAGGTAAAACGAGTAGTAGGAGGTTTTGTACAAGGCTATCTGCTCGAATCTGGGAGAGTGGTTAGTGCTCAGCTCTCGGTGATGAACAAGGAATTTACTTGGCCAGCGAGATTTTTGATAAATCGACAGAATCTTCGGGGGCTGAAAGAAGATCAAGGAGCTGACCTGTGCCCGTTTTCGAGGTTGTCTAGCGGACGAGTCAGCGCAATTCGAGACTCAAATTGGTATACCTCATGGAAAAGTTCCAGTAAATCCACATAATAAGGTTCGCTACGGAAATGTTTCTTGAGGAGGAAGTAGATAGAGGACTCGATTAGAACCGCGTCGTTGATCGATATAGTCCCGACTTCCGGAACGCGATAGTAACACAGCTGGCCGCGTCGAGTCAAAGATCTATCCATGACATCGTCGAGAACGAGAAAGAATGCTTGTAGCTAACAGTGCGACTTTGGTGAACAAGGCACCAATAGACAACCGTGTACGCACAAACTCGACAGACCAACCGAGAACAGCTGCCTTCAAATATTCAGCGTCGGAGAGTGCGCGGCCCTTGATGACTTGGACCGAATCCACAACGGAGAGGCCACGATTGAGTTTACCTCCCGGGACATTATAATCAATATTCTAGCATCACCGTAAGATACGACGCCAGACAAATCAGAACAGAACAGAACAGACTGACGCGCCGGTACCAGTTTTGTGCGTCCTCCGGCACATTTTGTGCTGCGAACTCATCGAGAAGTTCTTGCCGAATGATTGTGAATACTTGATTGAAACGGTCGCGGTCGGAGCCGTTGTAGGTGGTATTAGAGATGGGCGGCATTGTGAAAGGATAGATCAACCAGCGAACAGAGCAAACACTGTTGAAAGGTCCAGGAAGATAACAACCAGCAAGAAATGCGATGCCTGCAGCCCGAATCAGCTTGCGCGGCAGGAAGAGGTAGCGGAGAAGTTTCCACCCGCGATAGATAACGCGCCCAGGAACCCGGCGAGCCTGGCGCTGGGCATAGCAGTGTCAAGAGGTGGGAAAACACCGATTAATATTACGCAAGACCAAACAACCAAAAATACCACTACGCTTTGTGCCATATTTGGCAATTTTCGTTGCGAGCAGCACATTCATTCAACAAACTGCCAACCTGAATTCTCTCAACTGTTTGTGTGCGATGGCGAACCTTGGTGTCTGCTTCAACCATCTCGGTTCTTCCGGCTGAGGTCTGTCCTCCGGGTCTGTCTTCTCAGTTTCTGGCTTTCAATCCCCTTTCCACTCTCTTGACTGCTCCTAGATTTCAGAGTTGCGATCCTCTCGCTTCACCCATCAACCCCCGATCCAAATAACCGTAAAACGCGAAGGCGAGATGGCCGAGCGGTCGGGAGCGCTCCACCTCTCAAATTGATTCTGATTTAATTGAAGCGTCCACACCGAGCGACTAGCGCAAGGTCCTCTCAAATCCACATCGAGCTCCGGTATTCAGACCGGTCAATTTCAATGGATTTGGATTTTTAGACTTAACCCAAACTCAACCCCGGAGTCGGTACAAATAGGTTAGATTGAAGAGGCCAATTATTCTGAGCACGCAGATTGACGCCGTTGTACGGGTCGCACCAGCTCCAAAAAATGCGGAGCTGTAGCAGTACTTTTCTGACACTAGTCTCACTATTTGGTAGTGCCTTCGCCCAGGCATATCCTGACAACGCAGACAAGATGTTCGATAGTCATTGATTCGACGACCGATCCACGAGTTTACGATTTGCTTGCTCACCAGTTACTCTAGTACGACTTAATTGAATTGGAGAATGGGCCAATGCCGGGAATTGTATGCCTGTACGATTAGGTGCAAAGAGAAATGTCTCGACGATTCTCTTGACTACTGGTTCCAGCTGAGTATTTCCTTCCGGTGAAAACCTGGCCACGACTAATATGAACCAGACCTCGCTTCTTTGCCGAAAAACAATTTCAGAGTGTTTTGCAGGGCTGTGTATCGAGCTGCCTCATGTAAGCCAAAATACTTATGCCTCACCATACCTCACAATACCCTGAGATCACCACACTACCAGCCTTTATAATAAGAGGACCATAGTCAGCCAGTTATCGGGCGGTACTGTATCGTCAGGTGTGAAAGATTCATCTGTTGTTGCTATCTTGATACATGCATCGCACACTGTCTCCCCGCAACGACCGCACCACGTTACCGATTCGAGTGTGGCCAGCTCATTGTCACATTGTGGTGTCGTTGCCCCGTTGCAACGTTGCTACACCGATTGTCACGGCAGAGTAATGAGTTTTGCAACAAAAAGCCAGGACACTTAGCTTGGTTGAGCATCAAATGAAATTTGCAACTTGATTGCAACCTAGGTTGAGGTAAAGACTCGGAGGATCGAGGTGAGCTTCAGAGGAAAGTCAGCAAAGATGAACGAGGAGGCGGATTGGCTCACACGGCGAGGCTGGGCGTAGAGTGCCGACCACCAGATTTTCGGAGCGTGAGGGGGGCGCATCGGTGCCGGAGTCGATACTGTGAAGCAAAGGATCGATAGTTGGACCAGTGTGAGGCTGAAGAACAGGCTGGTCGATGAGAACGTCGCCACGTTGTTCACGGTGAAGCATCGGTATAAGTTGAGAAGGGACAATTCACCGTCGCTGACTGTAATTGGATTTCAAGGGGAATGAAAGTCGAGATATGAAGTTAGTGATGACTCCAGGCTGGGTGAAAGAGTAGTCCGTTTTACGCACCGGACAATGTGTGGGCCCATGAATCACTTGAGAGATTGAAAAGGGTGTGGGAAAAGGCGATTCTGAATTTGGTACAAGTGTACGAATGACACAGAGATCGGAGGCGGCGGTCATTCTTCGTTGACTCCGTGAACTTGATTAAGTTCATCCTCAGATTCATCATCTTTCTGCTCGTCGCTTTTCCGAAGTACAACGCGCTCTGAGGGCATGCCGACGTTGAAATCGCTCGCCCTGGCAGAAGAATGTCGCGCTGCTACGGGTCTGTTAACATCCGTATGCCCAAAACTCTTTCTCCCTCGACCCAACTTTACACAGCCGCACTACCGTCGGTGTGCGCGTCTCTCGTCACTGCGTCGCCACGGTGGGATACTCGGAAGGACCAGACTCAAACCAGACTAAGTGATTGTCGAGGGAAGTGCAGGGCCGGGCAGGCAGCTGTCAGAGGCTGAACATTGTTGAAGAAGAGATTGGCGCCGAAATGAGTGCTTCAATGTGAATGCTGGATCTGTGGAGAAGCCACTCTGGTCAAACTCTGGTGGTAAAAGAGGTGTTGGAGACTTGGAGGCATGTTTTGATCTGGAGTCAAACGCCATGGCCAAGACCAAACAGTGTACAACATAGTCTCTCTAAGACAGACGCTACAACTTGTAGCTCGTTCCTCGCAAATTATATGTACAACACCACTACGCTTCGCATCCATATATGGTAATTTTGACCGCGGGGCCTCATCGCAGCCAATTGCGACTCCTAGGCAATTATATACGCTATAAAGTTTTTAGATATATCAAGAAACATAGGGGGGAATCGAATTTGGATCTCCAATTCTCCTCGAGTTTCAACTGCCCGAAAACTGATTTTTCTTTGCCAAATGTGTCTTGTGGTAATCGCTTAGGCCCTCCCAGGCGCTTGAGGCCATGTTCATTTACTATGACAAGTGTGTTGTATCAGCGAGTCTTGTCGGTCTACAAGTACTAAGCAGAGCGTCTCATGTCATTGTAGATCTCAATCACACAATCAACGCATTTCGGTAAACATCCAGAGTGGCTGTCTCGGTAACCCAGACGTTCTGAGAGCACAGCGGACCTGCGGTCCGCAATTGATCCGTACCACGCGAGTTCGGGTAAATTTGATGTGCGGAAGTGCTCTCAGAACGTCTGGGTTACCGAGACAGCCAGAGTGGAACGTTGTGACTGGGATGATCGGCGAACGAAAAAAGTAAGAGCAGACAAGTTCCGGTGACCAAGGCAAAAGGTTAGTGACGAGAGTGGGATTCGAACCCACGCCCCGGAGGACCAGATTACAAACAGTGAGTCTGCAAATTCTGCTTCAGACTGAAGCTGATCCTTAGTCTGGCGCCTTAGACCGCTCGGCCATCTCGCCTTCGCGTTTTACGGTTATTTGGATCGGGGGTTGATGGGTGAAGCGAGAGGATCGCAACTCTGAAATCTAGGAGCAGTCAAGAGAGTGGAAAGGGGATTGAAAGCCAGAAACTGAGAAGACAGACCCGGAGGACAGACCTCAGCCGGAAGAACCGAGATGGTTGAAGCAGACACCAAGGTTCGCCATCGCACACAAACAGTTGAGAGAATTCAGGTTGGCAGTTGTTGAATGAATGTGCTGCTCGCAACGAAAATTGCCAAATATGGCACAGTGCTATCTGGAAATTAATTGAACCAAGAAAGTTTCAAAGATTGAGGAAATGTCGATACTTTGACTCATATGATTCAATTTTTTGCAACCATACAGGAGCTGCATCTATTGAAACGACATATCAAAAGACCAGGGGACTCTCACTTTGTCTAAAGTCTAGCATCTACTCCAAGATACACCTCAGACTCTACGCCACAGCTTTCCCTCCGAAAAAGGCCCTTGCTGCGGCTTTCTCGTCGTCGAGGGATGTCGCTTCTTCGACGTTCTAGACAAGTCATGAGCACATTTTTCTCAACACATGAAACACACAACATCAAGATCGGCCAAATGGTCACTGTTATTCACGTCCGTGACGGTAACATTCAGAGGCGGAGTTGTCGTGGTCCCGGATAGGGATCCATCCTATGATGTCGCGTTAATTGCTGACGGGGAAACGGAGAAATTGCACGATACCCTGATAGATACCGTGGCGCGCGTCCAGGCGGTGTTTAATAGACCAGCATAAGAGATGTCGCGTCGTGAGTCGGGATCCAGACGAAGTAGCGCAGCAACCAATTCACTGATGCACAGTCCGTGGCTGGCAATTGCAATGTGAACCTCGGCTGTCGCTGCTGCTGCTAGATGCGGAACAACACAATCTGCGATGGCGCTATCGGCTCGATGAGCTAGGTCGTTCAAAGATTCTGCTTCCGGGAATTTTGCGTCCCTGCCCCGAAGAATCGGGAAAATTCCTTGTGCATACATCTCCTCATAGGTCATATCAGAGGGAGTTTCCATCACCCAGCGATGACCTTCCGCAATCCCGAAATGCTGTTCGCGGAGTCGTTGATCGGACTTGAATGGCGGCTTGGGTGACGAATGAAAATCCAATACAGCTTGACCGGTAGCATATGCACGCAAGAGATCAGAGGCATAAATGAAGTCAAACTTCGTGTTAGATTTGTTGAAAGCTTGACCTAATGCTGCCGCTTGCTTGAGACAATAGTAATTTGAATGAATAGCGAGCCATTAAAGATTATACAAAACTCGCCTTCTTGCCTGGGGACGGTTCGCATCATCTCTTGGACGCATTGAGTACCGACTCACCGAGCGTCGACAGTGGTGCATCCTTCCAGCCAGCCCAAATGTTTTTCTATTCAGCGTGAGTCATGGAAATACCCAGCTCTGTTCGGGAGAAAATCGCACAGGGTTATCTTCACTTTCACCATGTCGGATCTGAAGTTTTCCAGTTGAGATCGAGCTTGTGAACGGACTAGGACGAACGCACGAATGTCACGGTAAGCATGGCTCTAGCGATTTGGGGTGGATGTGATTGCTGAAGACACGATGATAAAAACGAAGTAGGCGGAGGCAGACTTGTCGAGTCATCCAACGTTGCCATAGATCGGGCCGAATTCCCCGACGGGGTCAACGTGGGTCATAATTAATGGCGAAAACAAGCATTCTTTACCCGTGTTGTCGAACGGTAATCGTGTCTTGCCTTCCGAACGAGCTTGAAAGGAATAGACAGAACTGATAAGAGTCATGACGCTTCCAGAATCGAGACTTGACGCGAAATGTCACAGAAACGTGATCTGAGTCACAGCAATGACGAAGTTCCTCCTGACTTGCTCCTACCGACAACTGTGCTTATCTGGTCCTATGGTCCTACCTCACGGTAACACCCAGCTTGCCGACAAACCTGGTACCTTGAACTTGTATTGTGACTCTGGAGCCGATTATAAGTATACCCCTGGAAAGCTTGACATGGAATCATTCAAATTGGCGAGTCGGCGACGCGGATTCGGCGATGTCGACTGGCTATTGGCATGGAATGAAAGTATACCGTTCGGATTTTTAGCTTAGTTGGTGAGTTGTGCACTGTACTTAGTCGCTGTCCGTGCCAGTGATAACAAGGAACTTGCCTTCAACTCGGGACAAGCTGTCAGTTTTACCGTCGAGTCTTGACCGATGCCCTCTCATCTCGGCGCAACCGAACTTTAAATTCAAGGCTACTTACCGACATCTGATCCGCCAATGACGCATAAGTAATCAAGCCTCAAAATGAGAAGGTAACCAGACCTCGAAACACACTCTTCGTCCAACGTTATAGTCGTCTCAAGTCGTCTGCCTGTGTCGTCCTTCGGACTCCTTCCGCTATCATGATTTTCAGGCGTCATATCATTTCAAGCGTCAAACTCACATACCGATCGCACGATATGGCTCTTCTATCATTCCAGAAGTTGGAGAATATCACCCCGCCTTCTAAAGCCACCTCTGCCGTCAAAGATACTAATCTTGGATGTTATCTAACAGCATCTAAACGCCTCTCTACGGCTCTTTCTATTCTCCAGCGTCAGGTGCGAAATTCGCTTCCTATGGCTAGTGCTGAAAGACAAAGCTGGCTGCCGCTTTTCTTCTCGAAGCCACAGTATAAACTTTAATCTCTGCACCTGAAACGGGGACGTCTATTATGCAGACCTCTCGGCTCATGTGATCAGTTCAAACCGGAATTGTGGAATTGTTTCCCTCTACCCGCTCGGATGCCCGACGACCCGCAGACCAACTATCCGGAAGAGTTAATCATCCCTGACCTATATAAAGATCTCTAAAACGATACCCAATGTCCCCGGCCCGTCAGGCAAGTCGTTTGCAGATGGCATTGGACAACGCATCTGACGCGTTGCGTTTCTATAAGTTACAGGCAACTTGTGCAACGCTCTGCGTCATACATGATAGCTGTATAGCTGCGATCTTGTACCACCTAATCACTAGACAGTAACTTGTCACAGAAACAAGGAACACCTCATTGGTCAACCTCCTGCTCGCTCACTCGCTCTCTTGTGCTAGTCTCATCGGTTTATTGTTATTGTTCAGCGAACTCGTCTGAGTGGAAATACACTTGCTGTTGTTGTCGAATTTATAGCTGCGACATCGAGGCAACTGCTGTACATTGGAAAAAGAAGGGAATGTGATGCGTCAGTTTTCCTAGGTCAATTATTTCTTTGTATGCCCAGAACGCAGCACTCAAATCCTCGTTACAGACCCTTGAAGGATGTCCGTCGATTGCCGCTGTGTCTAAAGACGGGGTAAGACGAATATTCCAGCGTTGGCAGATGATACAAATCGTCATGCCATGACAGGAACTAGTTTAATTTTTCGATTTGGCAGGAGCAGCCTACGCATTCTCAGGGCAACAAGATCCTTTTGAAACCAAGGCCGTTAGCTACTCAAAGCTATGTAGTAGGAGGTTCCATTTCTGCCCGCCATGGTATCCATCTTCTCGACCTCAGTGAATTTGTTACCGGGATCGGTATTAGCCGCGAATTAGTATGACCATCAAACTGGTCCTTGTTCTCCGATGATTGGTCCAGGCGCGGTAATTTTAGAGCTATAGAGCATCTTACAAGTCATACTTGTTTCCGACCTAGGATCCCAGTAAAAAACTAGTGCGTACTTGGTGCGTACCCTGAAAAAGACCGATTCGGGCAACTCGGGACATCAACAGGTTGCACAGCCACCATCTCGTTGTGGGCGTGAAACGAGGCATAAAATACAGGACCTGCGGCACTCGAAAACTGACGATAAATTTCGAACTGATAGTTTTCGAAGTAGCTTCCCGCCGCAGTTGCAGACGAGTGTCTTTCATGTTAGTCGCAACTGCGGCCTTGCGAGGATCAGTCGGTTTTTCGATGAAGCGTAGAATCAGCGAGACGAGTCGTAAGGTAGGCCGAACAAAGCATTTTTATACCAATTGCAAGTATCCCTCAAACTGGGTGTGGCGAGTAGGCTAGCCCTGGGCTCGGATGTTATCATATTGCCGGATGTGGATTACATATATTTTTGAAGTCCGTTGCAGAGATCTCGAGGCCTGTTTCGAGGGTAGGTCGATGAAAATTCAACAACTGAGATAAAAAAAACGCGTAACGCAAGTTTCAAGAGTCCAGCGACCCAAGTAATCAACGTTTACCTGCAACAGCATGTTATCCACTGTGTCGCGTTTCATGATCGCGGGAAGCATGAAAATGGACGAGAACTAGAGCGGCAAAGAAGAGAATTCATCCATCTTGAACTTTTATCAAGTCACAGCCTCAGACTTGAGCCATGGAAACTGGTCGAGAATTTTTGAAAGTCGGCCTGAGTCAATATCATCGAAAACGGGAGGTTGTAAATGATTCCCATCCCGTAAGCAGAGTTTTAGCTGCACACGAGCAAGAACACTTGTAGCGAGGAATAACTCGCGACTTCAGAACCCGAATACGCTTCAGATCGGAGCAGAGGATTGATAATTGAGCAATTCCAAAAATTCCTCCGGAACGGAGTTGATGTGATGCGAAGTAGATGCTCATCAGTCTTCAAGTAGCGCAGATGAGCTGCTATCTATCTCTCATTGCAGTTGCAGCCAAACATAGTATTCGCGCCTACACTTGGTGCGGCGGTGTACCTGATGACGGCATGCAGGCGCAGTTCCGCGTCACGTCGCGCAGATGCTGCCAAGTAAGGTTAATGAACGCAGGAGCAACGAATGCGGAAGGTTCCATACATGGAGTCGACCTACTTCGCGGGCGGATACGGACGTGGGGCCCGAGCTAGTGGAAGAAGTTGGGGTGCTGGCAATGACGGCAATTTGATGCGCTGGGAGTCCAAGTCCGCCACGGCTACCGAATTTGCGCCTTCCGAGCAAGGATGACAAGGCCGAAAACACTGGACGTCGGAAATCTATATCACCTTGTACGGGGAGGATTTTGATA